GCCTTCCTGGTCAGGTGGCCTGTAGCAGACCCCCACCATAATGTCACCTGTCCCTGCCTTCCCTTTAATTCTGACCCATAAGCTCTCTGTCAGCTCCTCATCCATCCCCAGGTGGAGCTCCATGCACTCCAGCTGGCCATTGACATAGAGGGCAACACCCCCTCCTCGTCCCCCCTGCCTGTCCTTCCTAAAGAGCCTGTATCCCTCCATCCCAACACTCCAATCATAGGAGCCATCCCACCACGTCTCCGTGATGCCAATAAGGTCGTAGTCCTGCAGGTGTACGCACGTCTCTAACTCCTCTTGTTTATCCCCCATGCTACATGCATTTGCATAGAGGCATTTAAGTTGGGCTCCCGATGAGGCTGTCTTACTGGCTGGAGTTGCTTCGTGCTGCTCTTCAGGCGCTCTCCTGCTCCTTTAAGTGCCAGAAGAGGCTTGAGTTATAGCCCAGTTGCTCTCTGACCTGTTTATTGCACAGTGGAAGCTTTCAGGCAGGACTTGACTGTACCTTCTGGCTCCCCGAAGCCTGTACTCCTGAAAACGGCCCATAATTGTGCGAGAAGTCTCATTTAGCTAAGTGCGAATTCTTACATGAAGTTAAATGCAGAATAAGAGTTTTCAAGGTTTATACCTGAAGGTGCTCTTTATTGTGTGCTGTTTAAGCTGCTCTCTGATTCGTCAGGCAAAGACTAATGAACTGGAATAGATGGCTGTATTACTCTGAGTGATGATCGTATTTTTTGACTTGACGGCTGAGAAGCTATTGTCACCAAAAATTACATGTTTCTGCAAAACAAAAGGCTTGTCTTTCATGTTCTGTATCAGTCACAACCATAGTGCGGTGTAGCAGGATTTCCATAAAAACCGTATACCTCTTAGGGATACGTGGACGCTGTGGTGACAACTACTTTGAAGCTAGTTCCAGCATGCTGGGTTAGTTGGTTACAACTAGGAGAATAACCACGGCAGTTCAGGAGGTACCATGGGTTGCCAAGGCCTGCCCAGTATTTATGTGTATGGTTTATCCAGCACCGGGAGCTGGGGCTGAGCTGCATACTGCTGTGGTTAGACCGATCAGTTTGAAGCTGGCTTGAATACACCTACATAGTCTGCTCTGGGCATTACAAGAAGTGTTATGTAGATTTGCCCCATTTACCAAAACGTGGAAAGTACACAGTGATTAAAACCAGAGTAAAAACATGTACTTCCTTTTCTCAGAGCAGAAGGAAACTTTACCGGACGTACCAGCAGATCTCCTCCCCTAGTAAGTGGGACTTAAGTGTCTGAAAAACTAATTTAAAAGCTGGGTCTCCAGGTTGCAGTACTGGGTTTGATCTCAGCTGAATCCAAAACCTTTCTTTTTTCTTTTTTTTTTTTAATTTTCATTTCTAGTAAGCTAACAGTATCCTGCAGCTGCTCTACAAAATTGGTATTCCTGTCAGCTTCCCTGCTACTAACTGCAGCAAAATTGACAAGGATGTCAAATTTGCTGAGCACCCTGCAGGAGGCACTGGAGAGATTTACTTCTGGACTGTACCAGAGCTGGGGACTCCACGGTTTCCATCATCCCCAACCCCGGGGAGTGGGAATCCACCAGGATCCTACCAGACTCCC